TGCTGCTATAGGCCTAGACTGCTGGGGGACTTCCCATTGGGCACTGAGCTCCTCTCTTCCTCTCCCTCTCTTTCTGCACACATTCATGTCCTATTAATGCATGTTACTAACTTCACTTCTTCCCCGGAGTTTTTGTGCTTCCTCTTCTTGCAGGTTGTCATGGATCCTGGTCATAGAGCCTGCTGCCGTGGTCCTGCTAGACTTCCACTCATAGTCATATCATTATCATCATCACTGTTCATTCACCATTCCCCATCATTGTCGCTTTTGACGTCGTCTTCATCCTTGCTGTCGTCCTCATCATCATTATTAGTCACTTCTACTAGTATAGTTGTTGCTACTGTTGTTGCTGTGCACCTTTGTCTCTGTCTGGCCTTCTCTCTTCTCTTTACCTTTCTTTACATTTCAATGACAAATTCACAGAAGTAATAGTGAGAAGGGAGAGTGAGGCTCATTTTACCTAACTACATGCCGAGATTAAAGCAAACATCAATGAAGCTCAGACTGAGAAAACACAGAGGGCCTCTGTGAGGAGGCGTATTGAAAAGTTATAGTTTTGATAGTCCTATGATAAAGTAAGACTAATTATGATGTTTTTCTTTCAATATCACACTACCACATATGAATACACACAATTGGGAACATGTGTGTCACCAGCTGTTTTTCTGAAACATATTGCAAAAGGAAGAGGCTACATTCCAGAGGAAATAAAAACATGTGAATTGATTCCATTGCACAAATGCAATATAATTTCCATGCAGGAACCCAATCTCCCGCCCCACTGGGACGAATATAAAGAGTTGATAAAATAAGAGAACTACCACATGAAAAGGAGCTTTGAACTAAGTGAATCACGAAAGCAACTATTCACGCGGGTCATTTCTAAGAAGTTGAATGCTATTTAGCGTTTGAAGAGGTCTGACAATCACCACTTTTATGTGTCAGTTTCCACAGGAAAACGATGAAACTAACTAGTTTTAAAGAGGCCAGATAGTCAGTACCTCATTTGCTGCTGCATCTGCCGTAAAAACTCCAGAGTGATTTACTGTGGCAGGGATAATAGAAGCAAAAACGATGACAACATATGGCCAGCACAGACAAACAGCATCATCAGCCTAGAGGAACAGAGGTCGCAAGTAAAAGCTCCCTGACACTGCGACAGTAGTTCACACCAAAAGTAGAGCAGACGTGTAGTGGAAGTTACATGCATGAATTGCAGCAGGGCTGTTCACACCAGAGGCACATTTCTGTGAGCAGTCCAGCAGCCTTTGAGAAAAAACGTGCCTGACACAAAGGTGAAATGTCTTGTGAAAATAGACTTCCTACATTGTGAGCAGAGGTACCAGCATAGAAACACTGCTGAGAGTCATAAAGTTCATCTTATTTTTCCACTTCAGTGACTTTATATCGTAATTTCTTTCTACTTTCTCCACGGACTTACTCATGCATCCAAGCAGCCTCGACATTTCTCACTTAGTGCCGTGCTGTGATTGAGTAAAGAGTGCAGTATATGAATCTATGAATGAATGATGAATCTCTCTCTCTCTATGTCTTCCTTTACATAAAAAAATACATTAAATAATTTTACTTAATCCTTCAGTAACAGAGCTGATATTCATTCGTAATTGCATGTTTCTCAAGCAAGGAATAACAGCAATCAATTTCTTGTTTTGAAATTGCAGAGTGTGTTTTTGTGCCTTATTCGATTGCACTCAGTATTGTCAAAACTACATCTGGAGGTTTATGGGCTTTATGCTCGACTCTGCATGTGGGTGACTACAGTATACATCTGCTGCATACACTAACATAACTTAAAATCATAGCTAAAAAAATGCAAAGCACCAATTAACTAAGAGACTAAACAAAGACTTTGATGTTCTACTTTCTCTCACAAAGAGGGTATACTTATCAGTTAATATTCTGGATGGACAAATACACCTAAAGAGCAAAAAGAAAATCATGATAAAAAAAAATGCTGATAGTTGTCAGCTAGATGAATACAATACATCTGGGAAAAGTCAAAGGATGCCCGAAATATACTCACAATGCCATTTCCAACTGTTAATCATGATTATGGATGTGTGATGGTATGGTTAGCCATCTTGTGGGAGCCATTGTGTTCAATGATTGCTCTGCATGATCGTAAAACAGCCAAAGAAAGAGGCTAAAGGACCTGGTGCACCCTACGGTGCAAATATTGTTCCCTCATAACGTCTCCCCATTCCAAAATGATTATTCCCATAGACAAGCTACTAAACACTCTCAACAAATTATTCCGTCTCTATGGACTAAACACAACATTTCAATAACACAGACATGCAAGGTAATCCTGAAAGAATATAGTACATTACCAACATCCTTGATTTAAATGGTACATAACGTAACTTGGAAAGTATTCAATGGTTCAGTCATGAAATTGCTAAAACAAATTGGAAAAAGAAATAGAAATAGTGTGCATGTCATTCCACACTAAAACCCTCTCATGATCACAGGAGGCTGGAAGCTAATCCCAGCATACATGGGGCAGAAGGCAGAGAAATACCCAGGTAATTTATAGTTTCCAATCCACTAGAATTAGACACCTTTGGACTGTGCTGTGTTTCCACACTTTAGGAATTGTACCAGTAGTAGTTTGCTGAGATAATAAGGATGATTTATTATGGTCGAAGGTAATACACAGAATGAAAAAAGCCAGTTGTATCCACACTGAATTAGTTACTTTCTTTCTCTGTAGCTGTTTCTAAAATGGCTGAATACGATTGGGTAAAAGGTATGAAATAATCTTATTTTTTTCTCATGTCACAAAATTATGGTTTAGATTGAGCTTCTGAGATTCTGACATGCAAAAACAAACATGAAAAAGTGTAAACTCTGCACATGTCCTGCTGAAAAGTTATGCTTCTGTTAAATTCAGTTCTTACTTGCCAGTTCAATCACAGTTCCAAGGGGTTCTGGTCATCCTCATTTTAACTTCCAATCCACTCAAACGCTGTCCCTGAAAATACAAGAGGCATACTGTAAGAATACTTTAAAACAGAAAGCAGATATACAGTGATACAGTTTGTGGCCACTCCGTTTCATGGGCTCCATGGAATTCAACCCATGAATAATTCAGTGTTTTGGAAAGATTATGATGTATCTACTCAACTACAAAAAATGCAATTTTTTAAACCCCCAGGATAGAATACATCTAATTCAAAATTCTCTTTACTCTTTCTAAATAATCATTGAGTCATCTTGTTAGTTTTCCTTTCAACCGCTTCCTCAACACTCTCTGCTGATGCTGATATTTTGGGGCCTTTGAGAACCTCTATCTAACAGGAGGAGCATTACTGTATGCTACTGTACTGTAAATCGGTAGAGCTCATTCCCCAGGGACAAGAGGACAGTCAAAGCCATAATGCCTCACAAACACACAGTCACACACACGCGCATAGCCTACACACACAAAGACACGTACACACAACATAGAGGACAGACCCTGCTGAATAAATTATGGGGGACAAAAGCAAACGGAGATAAAGCTTGCCATCTCGCCCGCCATCCATTAGTGCAGTGCAGGAAATGTGAGTGCAAATAAGCATGTGTTTGAGCCACAGGAACATTATTGTGTGGGCTTATCATGACCCCAACCTTTACTTAAAGATAAGGGTTTTGCTGTCTCTGTCTCATTTATGCTGCATTGCCAGTGAGTATGGTTTTCACATTACAGTTGCATTACACCCAGATGAGCAGCAGCTAATAGGTGTAAAAACACTGCAAACATGTTTACCCATCTGATTCACTTCTGATGAAACCACAGAAGAATGGAATGGAATATAATTACACAGAATATGCTTAAAATCAATGACAGTTGCTAATGAATTAGCCAGTCAGGGTGGAATGGAAGTCTCATGAGAGCTTTATAGTAAGCCCAAGACAATTCTCAAGTCAGTCTGGGGTCCTAGAGGGGAAATCTGAAACAAGCCACAAGTTTTTATTTGTTAACACAATCTTCGTCATGAGTTAACATGTCCAATAATTATAAATTCAAGGAATATAGCTATGCAAGGCTTGCCTGACATAAACCAAAAATGTATCAGTCTGTCTCTCAATACCACATACTCAGCCTACCTATGATGCATGTGAAACAGATTACTAATATGTATGTCCTGAAACAGCTGCCAACCATTGTTTTCTTCCAAATGTTAAAGTAAATAATACATTTGTTGGGGACTGTTTCTCAGCAAAGGTTTGGTGCTCTAGCAAATATTGAAGGCAGTAGGACAGTGTGTGTGAGATTCAAGCAAAACTCCATTGCCCATGGTTATCTAAATGAGGAAATATGCCAGTCAGTGTGACAGTGTAGTACAGTGATTTAAACATTTTTTGAGCAACAATGGAGGTCTATGGCACAGGAATAAGCTGCTATATTTAAAACGGCTACTCGGACATCTTGTTATATCAATTCATTGCAGGATTTGTTGACATGAAGGAAAATATTAGACTTTCCAGACTTATTTGTTAACTTCAGTTCAAGTCTCCAGACTACAGCTCACAGTTTTATTATAACATACATGAAAATCTAATGACCAAAATAAATAAATATGACAAAACTGCTCAAAGGCTCTACAGGTAACCTGGTAATTTAGGTAGATACTGTAAAAGAATGAAGTGCAGCACCGTACTTCG